AATGACCTACCCTCCAAATATATAGATAGCTAGGATTGGCCTCCTAAATTAAGTTACTGTACATGCTTGCTGGAGAGTATCTGCTGAAACAAAAAAGTTTTATCTTGCCATGATTAAGATTGAGTTATTCCTCCTGACCCTCACTGATCAGTTTGTTCTGTTGATCCTCGAATCTTTCCCTGAAATATGGTAGTGGGATAGTAGAATTAACAACAAAAAAAGCATATGAAGAGTGTTTCAGCTGGTAGTGCAGGAGGGTGATAGAAGTATAAGACTGAAAACCTTTTAAAAGTCTTAAAAAAAGAAAGACTAGAAGAGTCCATCTCAATTTTGTAAAAATAACTGGAATTTTAGAAAAGCTCAGATTAAGTTCTGACTCTGATAGTTGTATGATCTTGGCAGGCAATTGAGTCTTTGAGCCATAGTTTCTTGAATGTAAAGTGAAAATAATATCTTCTGTTCTGCCTTTCTTAATTCTGAAGTACAATAATATAATGTGATTCTGACCATGGACAGATTCTTTCACTGCTAAGGCCCCTTACTATTCATTATAGTGTTTATTCTCTTCCTTCCTTCTTGACCAGCACTTGGGGCTTGATAGAAGAGATTCTTCCAAACCACCTTTCTTTTTTTTCCTTTTGTCCTCATTCTTCAGGTTTACTGGATGTGGGCCTAAGATACAGGTGTATTCCAAGGACAGCAGAGGGAGTTCTTGCTGCCCGAGCTGTCTCCATCTCAGTCCAGATTATCAGAGCATGTGGTCTGCAAGCAGCAGCCAAGTAAGTCCACCTTAGAAAATAGTTCTCAAACCTTTTTGCTCCTTGCAGTCCACAAAATATATGACGCTCAGATACATAAAACTTTCTTGTGTACAATTTTCAGTTCATTAACCACAGCTCTACTTTTTTCTTTTTCTCTTAAGAAAACATATAGGAACACAAGTTGCAAAGTTTGCTATTTTAACTGTTAATTAGCAACTTAGTTTCTTGATTTTGCCCAACAGGGTCATACCACTTATTCCCACAGTCATACCCTACACCTTCAGACCATGCCAGGACCAGTTAGTACAACTCTTCTGTAATCTCATGTTCTGTCTCTAAGTGCCACCTTTTATTTTTCTAGCTTGTTCCCTTCAAGTCTGTTCTCAATACAGAAGCCAGTGATCTTGTGAAAACTTAAGTCAGATCTTGACACATCTCTGTATAAAACCCACCAATGACTTTCCATCTCATTCAGAGTAAAAGTCAGACTCCTTAAAATGACTATAAGACCCTACATGATCTGACCCCATTATTTTTATGACCTCATCTCTTCCTGCTAGTCTTCCCTCTGTTCACTTCACTCCAGCCACTGGCCTTATGGCTTCTCTACACACTACACATTTATTTCTCAGGACTTTTGTCTTGCTGTTTTCTCTGCCTGGAACACTCATTCTGTATATAAAGACCATGTCCCTCTTTACCTCCTTCAAGTCTTTGCTCATTCTTCTACCTACCTTGAATGTTCTTTTTGTTCACTAAACAAACTCTTATTTTCTTTCAAGACTTTGCAGCTTTTTTGCAGCTTTCCTTCCTCTCTTCCTACACATAGACAGAATTGGTGCTTTGTCCTTTGTCTGCTACCACCTTGGTTGCAGCACATATCACTGTTTAAATTATTTACATACGTGAGTTTTCCTCCACTAAGCTGTGAGTTAGTTCCTCTAGTCACAGACAATGCCTGAGTCCCCCCTGCCCGCCACCACCACAGAACAGGTGCTCAAGAAGAAAGAGAACTAGGTCACACTCCTGCTGCAGACTAGTTCATTTTGGATATGAGTTCAAGAAAGAAGTACTCCTTAACTTTTTCCTTTATTGTAACTTAGATTAAGATTAAACAAAAGTTTCATAGTCTCTAAATAACTGAATTTCTGCCTGTGTGAGATCTGATACTGAAAAATCTGATAAAATGTTCAGTCTATTTAATATTTTTCCTCCCGAAATTCTCTAAGGTAGACATTTTCAATAATTGCCTGAGAACATTTTCATGCTAATGTGATACAAAGATAGTTTTTTAATCATGTCACTCCTTCGCATTAAAACTTCTGATGGTTCCCCATTGTCAATAGCAGTGGTGTCCTAATTTTAATTGTGTAGTCCTATTAATATAGAAATAAAAATTAAGCATATCCTCCAAATATGTATATTATTCATGTATAAATCATCTTCATGTACTGCTATACTAATATTTTAAATACATTATAAAAATATATCAGAGTAGTAAAACTTTAATATATCAGGTAACAGATATAGAAGTTTTAATATTTTCTTCCTGTGCCCAATTAGTTTACCCTAAGAATCCTCTAGGTTGTACACAATCTCCTTTAGGGACTACTGGTCCACAAGATAAAGTCCAATGTGATAAACTTGGCATTCTAGGCCCTTCAAAATATCTTAATCTGAGTCTTGAAAAAAGTAGGATTTATTAAAATGCCCAAGAGAGCTGAAAATAATTCTCATCAGAGGAAAGAACATGTGCAAAGGTATGGAGGCATGAAACTTGTGTTTCTAAAGTACCAGTTCAGTGTAAGACCCCGCCAAGGTCAAAAATCTTAAATATAGTATTAAATTAACTACTATTTAATTGGCAGAGAAGGGCTTAGAATTTAGATACTCAGTAAATCTGAGATAGACTGAGTAATATAATAAGAAACTCAATAGTCTCTTTCTCTGGGGACTCATGGGGAAAGTCACATTGGATGGCAGGCAATTTGTTATGAGTCCCATACTTGGTTTGTGTTACAGTTTGGAGAAGTAAGAGCAAGAAGCCAGGCCAGTTCTTACACTGCATTCTTCTGGTAGGATGGGAGAGTCCCACAGGATGTGAGACAATGCGTGGTATAATGGAAACAGAACTGCACTAGAAATCGGACCCATTGGCTTCTAGTCCCACCTCCATCTCCCACTAGCTGTGCATCATCTTCAGCTAGTTTCTTTACCTCTCTGGGTTTTTTCATCTAAAAATGGAAATTATGAACACCTCCCCTGATTTCATAAGATTTAGTGTAAAAATGAGCAAATATAAACTATCAACTTCTATATCAATATGTGGAATTTTATGATTATTTCCACTTGTATAGATAATTAATGTTACCTTTATTAGCCAGTAGAATATAGAAAAATCAGATATAAGTTTTATTTCACATTGTTCTCATTGAAGAGAGAATTCTTGGTGTTCTAAACTTCCTCCTTTGAATCTTCACTCTGGTATCCAGATAGCAGGTGCTCTGAATTAAGCCTTCTCTCTTCAACAGACACCAGCCCCATTTTATGTGTCAGTGGTCTTCCTAAAAATATGTTTTCAGTGTCTGTGTAAAGAAAGCATTTTCTTATTTACTTGAGTCTTCTAACTCACCTGATCTTTAGCTGAAAAAAGTGAGTAGATAGTTCCTTGGACATAGCCAGTAGTTTTTAAGTTCCATGAGGGTAGGAAATTGTGGTTATTTTTCTATTATATACCTAGCTTTAAACCCAGTGCATGACACTCTGAGCAGATGCTCAGCAAATAATTATTGGATGAGTGAATACAGACTAAGTCGGGGGCCAAACTTTTCAGTCATATCACTGTTATCGCTGAGAGTTCCATATTAAAAGTCTTTTCACTGCCTAAAGGCAGGTTCTCTGCTTTGTATATATTATCTAATGTAATTTTTACAACACTGAGTAGTTTATACTTATTTTTTAGCCATTGCTAACACTTACTTCCATCTCATTTTTCCTAGGCATAATATATATTTTATAGTGTTCGGTTGTATGGATATACACCAATCTACAATTAATGATCATTTTGAAATAATTAATTTTATTAGGTTGAAGTTGCAATAATCATCCAAATATACAGACATCTTTAGTGTCTGTTATATCGTTATACTATCCTCATTTTAGGAAACCGAAACTTGGGAGAGGCTGAATAACTTGTCCAGGGTCACACATTAAATGGTGCAGCCAGGATTCAAACCCAGATCGGTATAATTCCAAATTATTACTCTTTACTGATATATACTAAATATAGTAAGCATCTTAGAGCAAGGAACCCTTACATCTCTTTCGGGGCTAACAGAGAATGCTTCAAAAAGAGGTGACCTCTTCGCCTAAATGTCAGTTTATACCCTTGAGGAATTTGGGGTGAGGAAGTTTGTCTAATACTGTACCCACACACACAGGATTTGACTACTCTTTATGAGCGTCAGTTAAAGGTGGGTAGATTCTATCTATACATCGTGGAACATCTGTACTGAGAAAGAGAAAAGCAGCCCCTGACATCGGGAAACTGATCTGACACTCATAGCTAGGCTTTGGTGTTTTCCTGTTGAGCATAAACAATCTCACAGAACACCAGCATCAGACAAGACTGTTCTGTGACCATAATCAAGTAAGACAAAAATAAGGTTATTCCATAATCTTTTGTAAATACAAACCAAAACAAGCTCATTATGAAAATCACAAAAATACCCAGCATTTTCCCATGCTGCTAACTTGAGTGACTGCTGCTGCTTTACCAATTATAACTTTAGCCTTATTCTGGTCTTCCCTTCTAGAATGAGATACATTAAGAACACCAACCCAGAGGAAAGCCCCACTTCCTCAAACCCTCCTTCAAATCACCTAACATGATACCACTGCAAAAGTTCTTTCTGATACCTTCTTACTAAAATGCCCCGTGATTCCCCATGGTGTGTGTTTTCTCTCACTGCAATGAACAGTAAAACCAACTAGTTCAGCTATAGTTGATTCCTGGTAGTCTTTGGCTCAAGGGCATTGACAGTACAATGGAATGTTTTTGGGGTGTTTCTTCGACCTCATGAACATACACCCTGATACCCAGATTACTAAGAAAGTATATTGTGGCACTGCCAAAAGCCTAGATAGGAAGCATATGGTCGGTTAATGTTCTTGGTAGCCTCCTAGAATGGTGGAAATGTTTTCTAGGCAGTCAAGCTGATTTCTGATAATTACCTTCTCCTTCCTATCCTTCTCCCTACAGGGCTTTGGCTGAGCAGGAACCCTCTCTACAGTTTAGTGCCACAGTTGGGGTCAATGCCTTTGTCACCATTCATCTCTCCTTCCTGCCCAAGGGAGAACAGCGCCAAACTCGCCCTGTGGCCTGTACCTTCTGCCCTGAGTTTTCCCATCATACTGAATTCTCATGTAACTTAGTAACTCAGCACTGCAGTGGGGAGGCCTGTTTCCTGGCAGAGCTGTTGGAGTTTGCAGAGGTCACTTTTGCTATTTATCATGAAGATACCAAGTCAGGTGAGCACCAAATGACTTATCACAACTAGAATTAAAAGGGGCTCTATTTTGAATGTTACAGCCTTCCTAGGAAATACATGCTAAAGTATTTAAGGAGGAGGGTTCATATTCTCTGTAACTTTCTTTTGAAGAGTATAGCAGAAATAAGAGAATATGTATTGTGTGTGTGTGTGAGAGAGAGAATGTAGAGAGAAATAAAGCAAATATGTCAAGGTGTTAGTGGATAAATCTAGGTGAAGAGTATGTAGAAGTTCACTAATATTCTTGAAGCTTTTCTGTATTTTTTCAAAATAAAATGATTTAAAATTTTATATATATGCTCACACGACTAATTATTTAATTAAAAATGATTTAGAAGACATTTAAGCTTTGACTGGAGCAAGGTGATCACTAATGCATCTTTCAACACTGACGATACACTGTAAACACAAACTCTTGGGCCAGTAAACCACTAAATAATTTCTCTTTTTTGTTTGATTTGCCAGCCAGTGATATAACCTGTATCCAGTCATTCAAAGATTATCTGCTTGGAGTAGTAAAGGTTCCAACAAAAGAGCTGCTAGTCAAGAGATCCGGTGAGGATTCTAGATTATCACTTTCTAATCCTACCCTTTCCCATTCACTTGCCTGCAAGAGATCATCTTGTCTGGCTTCCTTTCAGGATATGCAGAACAAAACGGATATGCTTCTGAATTCTCCCAGGTACCTCAAAAGCATTTTAAGTCCTGTCCTAATCATTTCACAGTTCTTCTAATAAAGCAAAGAAGCTCAAAACATTATACTGTCTTGTTCACGTAGGAAAGATGATAATACCAGTAATTAATATGACACTATCCATTACATTATATAGCACTTGGTAAACTGTTTCCTCATATCTTGTTTGAGCCTCATGGTAACCCTACCTGGCAGGGATACAGGATCATTTTCTTTTCATTTGACAGATGAGAAAACTTAGGCTCACCGAGGTTAAGTGATTTGCCAAAACCACACAACTAGTGAGTGGCAGTACTGGAAATCAAATCCAGATTTGCTCGTTCTTTGTCACTATATCCTCCTCTCTCACTGAAGAAGGAATAAGAATAGAAAGTGAAGACACAATCACCAAAGCAGTTTGGAAATTATTGGTCCCATTGTACTTATTACTAGCTTGGTGACCTTGATCTCTCTGAGCCCCAATTTTTATAGCTCATGGATGGAGGCAGTTAGTCCTGACAAGTCTGCAAGGTAGGAATTGTTTAGGATATGTGAAGTACCTGACACTTAGTAGATACTCAGTAAATGTTAATTTTCCTTCTCTTGCCCATTTTCCTCCCTAGAATTGTGTAATCAGGTTTCCAAAATTCTGTCACACATCTCACAAGTTTAATTATAAATTTAAATTTGAGCAATGCTCTAATAAAGAGCATTATGTTCTAGTAAAGACACGGGTCCTATGTGTCTGCCAGAGAGAAATCTATACAACTTGATATAACATTTAAATCTCACTTTTGTGATCTAGAAAAAGTCACTTCATCTCTCAGATCTACAGTTACCTCATCTGGAAAAATGGAGATAATAAGATCTACTTTGCAAGATTATCGAACCATTCAGTGAAATTATACATGTAAAGTAGCTTGGCACGGGGCTAAGCACATAGACAGTTTCAGTTTCCTTCCTTCTGAGACATACTGTAGAGTTTGTCAGGCATCAGGCACTGTCTAGGAAATCCCATCTCTACAAATTAAATTTAACCCTTGGAAATAAACCTTTTAGACAATGTGGGATATATCATTTGTTTTTGTCTTCCAAGTTATTCTAAAGTGAACATTCTATTTTCTTTCTTCCTGCCAATCTCAGTTATAGAATTACAGAGCAGAAAGAACCATCTAATCTAGCAGTTTTTAACTGCTGTAATGGTGTGGTACGAAATCTTGTGTATGTGCATTTGTGCATTTGTCTGGGGATAATAGTTTTCATTAGAGCCAAAGGGGTCTGTGACCGAAAGAAAAAATGCTAGAAACCACTAGGTTGTGAGGAAATTAATACCTAGGGAGGAGAAGTTACTAAAACCAAGGCCATAGATTGTTAGACTGACCAAGCCAAAGAAGTCTTAGAGATCAACATATTCAGCCTCCTCATTTAATGTATAAAAACTAGGAAGGCCCAGAAAAATTATGCCTTTTCCAAAAGTCATAAAGCCTTAAATGACCTTTGGCAAATTAATCTCAATACATCTAAATCTTCTCATTTCTATAAAGTATAACTAATGAAACCTTTCTCAGAAAATTGCTGTGAATATTATTATACCAATCCACAGTCTGTTTTACATAATTATGAAATCCAAAAAGCTCAGAAAATTGAAAGTTTTTTATTCACTCGTTAAGCAGCCAAATCTAACCTCACCTGACAGACTATTAAGTCTTTATGACTTAAGCTACTACTTGATTATATAAAGTTTTATTGGAACACACCATGGCCATTTATTTAAATATTGTCTGTGGCCACTTTCTCACTACAACAGGATAGCTGAGTAGTTGCATCAGAGACCAAAGGACCCAAAACCCTAAAATATTTACTGTCTGGCCTTTTATAGAATAAGTTTACCACCCCTTGACTTCTATAACTACTGACTCTTACATAATATTCAGTTTATATACCACATTGCCTTTCTAAAATCTGAAAAATCCTAAATTTAGCAACAAATCTGGCCCTAAGAATTTCAGATAAGATATTGTGAACCTATAGTAGGTGGAATGTAGACTCCGAAACCAGCTAGACCTAGGTTCAAATTCTAATTCTATCACTCGGTAGCTGTAATAATTTGGATAGGTATCTAGGCTTCCATTTTCTCTTCTGTAAAATACAGATTCTTATCTCATTTAATCCTCAGAACTCCACAGAGCTATCAAGAGAATGAAGTAATATATATAACACTAGGAGACTTTCTGACACATAGTAAATACTAGAGTAGCTGTCATTATTTTGAAACCTAGTGTTTGGTCCTTAGTGTGTGTTCACTAAGTGGCAGTTCTCTTTGGTGGAGGACCTGAGACGAGACCCCAGATCTCCTAATTTCTTATCCCTTGCCTTTTTGATTGTACTTACAGCATCATAATAACATTTCATATTTTTAATAGCACTTCTCTTTGTAAGCTCTTCTAAAACCATTACCTCATTTGATGATCATAACAACTTTGTCTGGTAGGCAAGATGAGCACTAATTTTCCCATTTGTCAGGTGAGGGAATCAAGGCTGAGAGAAATTAATGGCTTACCCAGACCAAACCACTAGTTTTGGGCTGAGCCAAGGAGAGCATTCAAGTCTTCCAGCAGCTGATCTCATTGCCTTTCAGTGGTCAGTTGAAACAGACTACAGTACACTGTGGGTATATGTTTTCTGTTCTGTCTTGGGCAAGGGGGATGGTGGCTCTGGAGTAGAAACTGCATAAGTCTTTTTACTTTTACGACAATAATTGAAAATCTTTTCTCCCATAAGGGATCACAGGTTGGTATCCTATCATTTTACCAGAAGATGGTGCCGTGCCTCATGGCTTGGAGCTCATGCAGAAGATTGTGGGTGGTCTGGAGCTTTCAGTTTCCTTCACTCACCCTGGAGACAGAGAGCGAGTATTGGAAGCTGCTGAGTTATTGGGCTGGAGCTTTGAGAATAACCTGAAGGATATTGTCAAGATGGATGAAGAGGAGCCAGCCAAGCCAGCCACTGTCACCATTTCCACACCAAGGCTCTGGCTGCCTATCCATTGTGTGCTGCTTGCCGGCCAGAAGCACATTCATAAGAACACATATTGCTACCTCCGCTACAAGCTATATGATCATGAAGGCTTTTGGACCCCTCTCAAGAAGCCTAAGGAATCTACAAACAAAAAGCAGGTCATGGTTACTTTTAAGGCATCCAAAAGAGCAGAAGTCACTAGGGGTCCATCCCTGCTTTGGTACTTCAGGGAGGAGAGATTAGAGATCCAAGTGTGGCGGGCTTATGGCAATGACAGTGTGGAGAGGCCCCACCAAACAGACAGTTGGATTGGCTCTGCCTATGTGGACCTAGCCAGACTTGGGGAGAGGACAGCAAGGACACTAACTGTCAGTGGTAAGTGAAGAACCAACCTCATAGCTTACGGTTTGAGCACCTGCTCTGTGACAAGCACTATGTGAGACACCCTCTCCAACATTATTTTATTTGATTCTCCCAGCAATCCTATGAGATAGGTATCAGACCTATTTCACAGTCATGAAAATGGAGTCCCAGAGAGGTTGGGTAACTGCCAAGAGTCACAGGCTACTAAGTGTTCTTTTCATTATTGTACGCTGACAATAGTAATAGTAATTTCGTAAATAGTAATTTAATAGTAATTTAGTAAAGCTTCTCTTAACTAAAGAGATTTCAAAAAGAAAAATTTGCTGGCCGCTTTAAAAAGGGCATTACCTAGTGACAGTATACCTTGGCTGGATCACCACAGCCTCTAAGAACTGGTTCTGAGCATCATAGCTTTAGTGTACATCCAGATTTATCAGATTTTTGCACCTAATATAGTACCCACAACATTGTAAGCACTCAGTTAATATGTGTAAAATAATGTGTGAATTTAGAGGACTACCTTTAACCACATGTATAAGAGCCTGTATGATAATCTATAATGGTAGTTTTTTAAATAGACTGAAAAGTATACCTGCTAATAAAACTAGGATATCCTTTCTCTCTGGTCAGCATATCTTAGACTCATAAAGAAGCCTGCATAGTAATAAATAAATTCACAAGGCAAAAAGGAAAAAAGGTAACATTTTATAAGTGCCATATGTGCTGAGTACTTTTCTTTCAAACATTTGTTCAATACTTGGTACATGTACTTGGCCATGGGAATTCAATGATGAGTAAGAAACAGTCCCTGACCTCAATAAGTTTATAGTCTAATGGGAGACTAGAGTAGTAAATAAACAATTATAGTAAAGCATAAGAACTATGAATAAGGTTTTCTCAGTGGTCCTATGGCAGTGCAAGGATGTAGCATCTCGTTTTAAGGACAGCATCTCAGGGGAAGGGACCTGAATTTCAAAGAATTTAGGAATAAGCCAAGAAAAGGGGGAAAGAAAGGTATTTTAAAATAGAACAGCATGTGTAAAAGCACAGAGGTATGAAGCAGTTTGATACATTTTAAGCACTATAAGAAATTTGGTACTACCAGATCATAGGACATGCAGGTTGGGAAATGATGGGAGATGAAGCTAAAGAGGTGGGCAGGAATACTGTGTTGAAGGCCTCTTCTAGGCAGAAGAGTTTGGACATTTTTCTGACAGGTATGGAAAACTCTTATAATGGGTTCTGAATAGAAGAGTAACATACCTTTGCATTCTAGAAAAATAAGTCTAGCAACTATAATGAGTTGCAGAATGAGATGGAGATGTCCAGACCAGACTTTTCACAAACATGGTATTTATTCATCATAACATTCCTATAAGGTTAGTTATTTTCCCCCACTATACAGTTGTAAAAACAAAGTCACAATTCTATTTTAGCTGTTAGCCTTCCTTATGCTCTAACCCTGTTTGTGGAGCAGGTGGCCCTGCTAAAGGAGGAAAACCGAGTGTCTGGGTGATCATCCCAGATTCGCTGGTTCTCTCTAGACCCAGCAGGTATAAGTCTAGCTATATTGAGCATCTCATTAAATGCCATGTACCCTATTTTATCTCGGCTGGCCTAGAGTCACTTCAGAGACTGCAGAAAAAGTCCTTGAAGTGAACAACGCTCACTTGAACCAAAGTTCATATAGACAGACTTTCACTCTACTGTAGAAAGTAGCTTTGAGAAACTGAATATAGATTTAAGGATCAGAACTCAAGTACAAATACTTCTTTTCATTGAATGATACCAAAGGCGATGTTTCTTTTCAGATCATAAATTTCTTTCATACTTCTTCACATCCCACCAGTCTAAGCTTTTTATCCTTTTGTAAAAGGCCTTGTATAAGATGTGGCATTTGATGTTTGTTGAATGAGTCCATCCATCCTATCATCTATCTAACCATCCTTCCAATTACTGCTAAATTTCTTGAGGATAAGGATTTAACTATTTTGCTTTGAGTGTCTTCCCTCCTATGACTTGCCCTTATTTTCTGCTTGTAATAATTATAATTTACTCATTGATTGGAAGAAAACAAGTGATTTAAAACTAGAGGAAAACAAGAAAGATTCCATTTTAATGCTATCTGTGAGTCAATTAACTCTATTTTCCTGATTTGAAATGAGTCTAATGAAGCAAACTTTGAGATTCTGAAAGAACTATAGTCCCTTCTGCTTTATAAATAAAATCTCATTTGAATATCCAGCAAGCCTGTAAAGCCCAAATACCTGAGTTTAAATCTGCCACTTATTGAAAAAGTCAACTTGGCAGATTACTTAACCCATCTGAAATTTTGGCACATGAAAAACACTCAACAAATATTAATGCCTTACTTTTCTCTCTTGCCTCTTCTGCCACAACTTCCTACTTCCCTTCCAGATGATCTCCGGGTCTACTGTCAGAACATACTTAGTTGGTGAAACAGGCTAAATTGATTATCAGGGCAGCTTTCTGATGAGGAAAAGGCCTAAGAACAAGAGTCAGTGGGACATGTGGAAGAGAAGACAGGCTACTCTTGATCTCATAAAAATCCTGGGTTTGTTTGTAAGTGGCTTCAGCAGCCATCTAAGTCTAGCTGCCCCTCAGCACATGACACCTTCCATAATAGTTCTGCCTGGTAGTCATTTGGCTTTGGCTTCATATGTCACTACTTTCCATTGTTAGAGCTAGTGTATTTATTTGGGGGAGGGGAAATAAAAATGTTCACACTATATACTAACTTCACAGATTTTTATACCTCAGTACCTCAAATTGGTATATTGGGGCCTGTAGGACTACCAAAAGAGAGAGGACCACAAGCACCCTCAGTGAACATCTCCAAAGTTAGAGAGCATTCTTGGTTCCTGCTTTCTTAGGCTTATTCTTCTTCATCCTCTTGCAGGTGTGTATCCTCTATTTGGACGAAATGCTTCCAACCTCTCAGGAGCTGCCTTGAGAGTTCATGTGGTTCTTTCCTCTCTTTCCCCACATCTTGAGCCCACTCATGAGCTGGACTCCATGGACTGCAGCAGCCACAGTGAGTCTGAGCAACACCCCAGAAGAAATGATGAGATCCAGCTCTCTTTACCACCTGGCCACCAGAAGTCTCCTGCCTCCACCCAGGTCCCCTGCAACAGCACCACGGCTGAAGTCTCTCTGGCCCAGGAGGGCCCTACTGAGTTGGATGGAACTTTTGCTGTCAGTATCTTAGTAGAAAGGGCAATGCACTTGAGCTTGAAAGGTATGTTCTGCTCACTTATCCAGAAACATATATCTGACTCCTCAGGCTCTGGTTCTGTCTTGACAGATTTTTCAGGTAGGATCTATAAGTTAACCATCCTAATCAATAATTATTGTATTTCTTAACCCGAAGATTTAAGCAATACGAAAGCCTTTCTGAACATAAGTAGATCTTGTCAGTTATCCTAATTTGGCATATCATAAATTTCCCAGTCCAGAAACCTGAATGTAGGCTTAGATACTTCTCTTTTCTTTATCTACCATCAAATTATCAAACCCATTAAATTGTTCTCTCTTAAATTTCTCTTAGATCTCTTCCTTCTTTTCCATTGCTGCCCAACTCAGGCCTTCTTCATTATGCACCTAGGGCAAAGAGTTCTTAACATTTAATCTATAAAACTCCCAAGAATAAAAATCAAAGTTGGTGAACTTGGTTAGGAAAATAATTACATCTTACTTTTATTAACCTCTAACCAAAATTTAACATCTCCTCCAGTTGTGAATATAGGCCATAGACCCTAGTAATATTAGCTGTACCTGTGATAATGTCAACAATAGAAATCACAGGTATTTCTATATCTCATTGTAGTTATTGCCAATTCTTAGAATACCATTTATACCTATTATTATTTCAAAATTACAGTAGTTGGTAAACCTACAGTTAGATCTTTTTATGCATTAATAAAGCACAGATATTACTATATCACAGTTTTTAGTGTTTCCATAACTATGCCAATATAATTTGATTTTTATGTAATCCTGTGTATTTTACCTTATATCTCATTGTAGTTATTGCCAATTCTTAGAATACCATTTATACCTATTATTATTTCAAAATTACAGTAGTTGGTAAACCTACAGTTAGATCTTTTTATGCATTAATAAAGCACAGATATTACTATATCACAGTTTTTAGTGTTTCCATAACTATGCCAATATAATTTGATTTTTATGTAATCCTGTGTATTTTACCTTATGAATTTACACACACACACACACACACACACACACACACACACACACACACACACACACACTAAGAGGCCCATAAACTTCACCAGACAGCCAAAAGAGTCCATGACACAAAGAATCCTTGCCCTGCCTTTATTCAGCCTTGTAATTGCTCCTGAAATTTTCCCTTTGCCATCACCCTTCTCTTTTGCCTGGCTTATCCAATCTTAAGATTCAATTCAAGTATCACCATTTACCAGAGAGTTTCCCTGACATAAAGAACCACCCACCCATGGTACTAAAATTGTTTGCATGGTTTTCTTCTCCACTAGATATGAGCTCTTTAAGCTCATCTTATTCGTTCATTCATCATTCATTCATTTAGCAACAAAGCTTTTTAGTATTTGCTCTTTGCAAGCACTGTCCATGGTACTGGGGATAAAGCAATGAACAAAAGACAAAAATCATGCCTTGTGGAGCTTACATTCTGGTAGAGGTATATTTAGCTCTGTATTCCCAAATAATAAGTTGTGTGTTTGTGTGACTTTGACTAAGTTATTATCTCTCTCTGTGTCTTGAATTTCTCATCTATAAATGGCTAGGATTAACAATTCTGAGATATGTGATGGCTATGAGAGCCAGAAACCATAGTCTTGTGAGTCTAGAAGTTTCAATATAAATCTTTTGGTTTAGCCTCCCTACTTGGCTCCTATCATCTCTGTATTGGCCTCTCTCAATTTGTGCTGCGTTGGAACAGAAACAACACTCATGCTAACAGTAACTTGTTTATCTTTCATTCCGATTTCAACCCATCCATACACACCACCAACAGACATTACTTCCAAGATTATAAGCTCTGATAATGACCCCTATGTATAATGAATGATCTTCTCATAATTGTGTGACAGAGACCCTGAAATGTTTTATCTCAGGACAGAGTCTTCTGCAGTCTTATTGTGCTGTTTTAGAAATATCGAGATTCCAGATGAGTAACAAAATTGAGAAATAACTTTTGCTTTTTTATTTTCCCACCAAAGCAGCCTATTTTTGACAAGTCGATATATTAAAACAGATTTTTTTTTATAAGAGAAAAATCAATAGATGAATGAATTTAAGGAAAGTACATAGAAGCTTTGATTTTTGCAAGTTTCTTTTGGTTTTGTGTTGTTACTTTGAAAATAAAATTTGATGTACAAAAATATGGTTTATATCTCATTTTCAAGAGAGTCCCATGTTACAAAAAGTGGAATATACCTGGAACTTTTCAATTAGACAGTGAGTTCCGTTTTTAAAATATGATTTAGCAAGGTAATTTGACAATAATTTATTGAGCATCTCCTTGTGTCAAGTTCTGTTCTCATTTTTGTATATTAATTATCTCATTTAATCCTTACCACAAGTGGAGTTTTGGTATGAATAGATTACAGTACATACCCACTTTATAAATGGGGAAACTGAGGCTCAAAAAGGTAAAGTGACGTGAGTTATAAAGTTAATAAGTTCTGCAAAGCCAGAATTTGAATCCAGTTCGGTCTGGATCCGAACCCTATGCTCTTTCCTTTATACCATTCTGCCTGTCAGGTACAAGATATAGCTGTGTTTGCCAGTTAGTTCTGTCTACACTCTGTGTTTACCAGTCAGTCAAGCCCAGGGTGGGCATGTATCACATACCCAGTCCTGTGCTTACATTGCAAGAATGGTGGTTAAATTCAGCAAGTAGTAAATCTGTGCAGGGCCAGTGCCAGGTACAGAGAGTACAGAGCAAATGTTACATAATTTCTGTCCTCCAAGAGCTGATAACAGGGTTAAGGGGATTAGCAACTATACAGTTAATGATATATGAAGCAGAATGTTCTGAGGGCCAAAGGGTAATACAACTTAACAGTGTTTATAGAGTTTAGAAACAGAGAAATCAGATATGCCTAAGAAATCAGGAAAACTTTTTAAATGAATAGGATTTCAAAAAGTAGGAATGCAATTCTGAGTGGTTATTTCAGCTTGAACAAAGATATTAAAGTGCAAAAGTGTATGTTCTAGGCTTGTTTGGTAGGGGAGGAGGGCAGGGCATGGAGGATACAATAACAATTGATCCTCTGGCTGGAACTGAAGGTCATTGCAAGGGAGCTATAGGGTATCATGAAGAGATAAGTGAGAAAATTGCTGGGCAGCAGCAAGGGCTCGACTAAAACTAATTGACATGAATTTAGATGGCTGTGCACAGCACAGTGGTGACTTTTCTCCAGCAGTGCTTCCCTTTCCTTTCCCTTCCTACCATAACAAACAAGTAATTTCTGACTCTTACCTCATACACTTTTCTAAGCCTAGATTCGTTTCTCTCTTCTCCAGCTACAATACTCCACCTACTCCACTGGCATTTATGCTCTTCTCATTCACCAGCCCTCTTTTTTTTTTTTTTTTAACACTAGGCAAACTCCTGCCTTGGGGTTTTTGGATCAACTTTCCTCTGCCTGGAGTATTTTTCACTTCAGGCATGTCTTTACTGAAATCATTTTGTCTCAGCAAGGCTTTCCTTGGCCACCCATCTAAAGTTGCAGCTCTTCCCCAACATTTTCTATCCCTCTTTCCTGCTTTATTTTTGTTCGTAAACTTAAATAGTATATCTGGTTTATTTTCTCTTTCCTAGAAAAACATAAGTCCTACAGAAACAAGAGATTTTTTATTTGTCTTGTTTTATTTACTGCTGAGTTCCCAACACCTAAAACTATATCTGATATATAATAAGTGGTAATATTTATTAAATGATGAAGTAGATGGATCTGAGGCCTTGCTCAGATGCTTTCTCCTTATTCTCTGATTTCCTACATAGCCTCTCCTCATGGAAAGTTGCTTATGGGGAATTTAACAAAGGATAAGTCATAAGAATTTTTTTAACTTCCCACTGTGTCTAATACAGAGTTTAGGATCATGGCCTCTTAGAAAGTGTCTATCACCTTTTCTCCATTCTCACAGCCACCCTGCTTATTAGAAACTTGGACTGTTGAGATAGCCTCTCGATGGCTACTGCTTCCAATATCTTTTACATTCTGCCATGGAGTTTATATTTCAGTCAACAAATCTAACCCTCCTCTCTCCACTTAAAATATTTTGTTTGCATCTACAGCCATGCTACCCTGAACAAGCCCAATCCCATCTGATCTCGGAAGCTAAGCAGGGTCAGGCCTGGTTAGTACTTGGGTGGGACCACGTAGGAAGACCAGGTGCTGTAGGCGTGAAAAATAAACATTAAAAAAAAATTTTGTTTGCTTTGTATCACCTGCAGTCTTGGTGACATAGCACACAAAGTGCCATACATGTGACCTACTCAGTCTTTCCAGCCTCGTCTCTCATTATTTCTTAGCTTCAACTCTGCTTTTTGCCAGTGCCCCATTCTCTCTAATATTAAGTTTTTGACTATGCTGTTTCCTCTACCTAGAATGCCTTTTCCTCTCTTATTCAGCAGATATGCTCCTCATCATCTTTCAAGAGCTGACTAAAGTGACTGCAACACTTTGAAGCCTACTAACTATCCCTGTTAGCAGAAAACCTGCCATTGTTTTCAGCACTTCCCCATATCACCACCCCCACACAGTTTTCCTCCTTCATATCATTTATTGCTCTGTACCGAAAATGTCAACATGTCACTCCACTAGACTCTCTGTCCCTTGCAGATAGGAACTGTGTGTTGTTTCTGTATCGCAGCACTTTGATCTTTACAATGCAGCTAAACAAATGTAATGCCGTCATGATTGTGAATATGACACTTAACACCTCTCATATTTCTGGCATGAGTTACAGGCCTGTAAATCACTTATTGTTTGCCCTCTTTCTATACATTAGCCAGGTCAGGGCAAGCTTCAGGGTGGACATCTGACTTTTAGAGGTTTCTTTTGTCAGGTTTTTTTAATCAGATTGCTTTTTGTCCACTGAGTAGCCTGAGGTCTTTGGAAAAGTAATTAATGAAAGGAGCAGCCAGATAGAGAAGGAACAGGGTGGAGCCTCAAAGATTAACTTCACAAGGCGAAGTGGGAGTGTGAATTTGGAGAAAACTTGAGCTCAACAGGTAGAAAGAAGACAAACCAGTTAGAATCCACATACAGAATTTATTCCTCTGAATCACAGAAATAATGTTTAAGACATATTTATTTTCTTCTGGTTTTTTCTGTTCTCTTTCCTTCATCTGTAAATCTGAGATTTATTGTATTTTAGAGCCTTAAGGGATCTTACGGAGTTTATAGAGTCTCTGTTATTCAGTACTGTCCAAAAGATCTTTGTTCTGTGATGGAAATATTCTATATCTGTGCTCCAGTATGGTAGCTACTACCCATATATGGTGAGTGGTTATCTTATTGGACAACTCAGACTATCTGATATCATCAGCTATCTTCATTTTACATTGTTTTAATAAAGAATAAATGACTGAGTCTCCTACATTGGAAACCCTATCTCATAAAAATTAACACCAGCACAGTACTCAGTGTTTTACATTTGTTAACTCTAGTAGAGGCAATATAGTTGATGACTGGAATCTTGGAACTAGAAAGCTCGAGTTCTACCATTTAATTAATATGTGACCACTTAATAAATGTTTAATCTTTCTGAACCCCAGTTTTCTTCATTTATATAATGGGAATAATAGTGATAACTACCTCATTGGGTTGTTGTAAGGATTAAAGGTGTTAATACACATGTAGTACTTAGAACAGTATCTGGCACATAGTAAGTGATATATTCTAAATGTTACCTACTATTATTATTTTTAATAGGTATAAGTATCATATGCTCTATTTAAGGAAGCTGTGGCCTAGACAGGCCTTGCCCAAGGTCACACAGAATATATATGGCAGAGCTGATAATTGATTATCTGACTCTTAAGTCTAGGGCTTTTTGCAGTTTTTTTGCCTCTCAGCCCAGTATTTTCCATCACCCCATAAAGTACAAGATGAGAGAAGTCATTTCTTGTCTGGGAATATTTATGAACTGAGCCTTGATAGGACAGTTTCAGTACCAGAAAAGATGTTAGAAACATTTCAACTACAGGGAGTAGCTCAAGCAAAGACCCAAAGGTAAGAAAAGGCTAGGAATGGTCTCGCTTGTACCTGTATAATGGGAGGCTTCCAACACATTCTTTTTGGTACACTAAAGTGCAGCCACTCCGTTCTCTTCTGTTTCAGGGAGCCCCTTGACAGAGCGGAAAGTATCGATACCCAGTTGTTGCGTATCTTTTACAACAGCTGATGAGCCATCTCCTGTCTACACCCAAGTGGTTGAAAACACAGATTCTCCCATCTGGAATTTTCAACAGCAATCAAGGTTTGTATTTTATGATGTTCTATCAGCCTTCCAGAATATGCCTTTTGTTCCATGAGACAAACTCAGATTATAACAGACACAGTGATATTGAGCAGACCTGAAAAATGCTGTCCTGATCAAGCAGTTATTTAATCCCAGTGCTTATAAATCCATAGACAACAGTGGTTTAAAAGTTTTGTTGTGATTTTTTTTAACTTTGCTCAATAAACCTCAAAAACTATTCAGTGAGGACCTTAATCTTTAATTCCCAGTGCCTAGATCAGAGTGGGACATATATGAAGATTAAGATAAACTTAAAAATTACATAAAGTGGCATATGCTACCCTCAGCTCCCTATTCCCTGCAAGTTCAGGGAAGGCTTAAATAAGACACTTCAGCTAAGTGTGGAAGAATATATATAAGATATCCAGGTGAAGAAGGCAGAGAGAGCTCATCTCAGCAAAGGTTATGGATTGTACATCCTTAGAAAAGATTTCTGGTGTGGTGAAAAGAGACTTGGCTTTGGAACTAGAGAGGCTTGGCCTCCAACCCCATCTGTCATTTACTAGCTATGTGAACGAGTTACATAACATTTCTGAGCCTCAGATTCCTCATCTATAAAGTGAAGTAAATCACAGGGTTATTGTGAGGTTTAAACTAGATGATATTTAGTAAAACTACCTCATGGTACATGTTAGGTATACAACAAATGTTAGATCTCCTATGGAAGGCTCAAAAAATCGGAGGTTGAATCCTGTCAGTCATGCTACAGTTAAGAAGACTGTATCCCAGGGAGGTTACATAATCTGTAGGCAGGAGAGCCAAGATTAGAAGAAAAGTGAATAATGGTACTGTTTACCATTCCTTTGTCACAAAATTGTTTTATTTGATTCTCCTAGCAACCTTGTAGGTAGATGATAAAATCCCATTTAACAGATAAGAAACCCAGATCTCAAGGAAAACCAGGCTCAGGGTCACTCAGGTGACAACAGTAGATGGAATTCAGAGGCAAGTATTTTGACCCCTGGCTAGAATTCAGAACTTATACAGTATTTGTTTCACTTTAGCACAGTCCCTCTCATTGAACTTAAAAGACTCACTTTAATTCCCAGATGGTATCTGGGGAAGGAAATTAAATCTCTTGATTTGCCTGTGTTCTCTATCTTGCTCCTTGGAGTGGTGATACGTGGTTTGGAACTTTCCAAATCTTTGTACTTTAAAACTGTAATTCATGTCATAAAATATATTAGAGGTGCTAAGTGAATTCCAAATCAAATTTTTTTTTTTTTTTAGGCGAGGCAACCCTTGGTTGACCTCACAGATTGCAAGGACCTTGTCAGCTTACAATCCCTTTTTTTTTTATTAGTTTTTACCCCTGCAGCACCTGGTCTTCCTGGGTGGTCTCCCATCCAAGTACTAACCAGGCTCAACCCTGCTTAGCTTCCGAGATCAGATGGGATCAGGCTTGTTCAGGGTGGCATGGCTGTAGACCAAATCAATTTCTTATTTTGGTGCCTTGCTTCTTTGTAGTCAGGCAAAACTGGGTTCAAATCTTAGCTCTGCCACTTACTGACTCTTATATGACTTTGAGAAAATCACTTCACCTCTCTGAGCCCAGCTTCATCATCTCTAAAACAAGGAGAATAATGCCCATGTCACAGGTTTGTGTGCAGATTACATGTAAATGAAACACTTTACACCATTCCCGGCCCAACATAGGCACTCAATGAATGTTCTTTTTCTACATCTTCCTACCTTGTCACTGTTCCCCCACGCACATGGCACAAGGAGAATCCTTACCTGCTCCAATAAAACTGTTCATTACATGTTGAGGAGCTCCCTTTTCATACTCCCTCCCTTGTCTTGAGAAACAGAGTTTAAATGTGGCAGACACTATTGAAGGGGAAATTTTACATCAAGGGACCTATTTTCAAGTGTTAGCAAGTTACTTCATCTCTCTGAGCTTCCATTTCCTCCTTTTAACTGTGAAAATTAAAATGTATCCTAGAAGTTGACCATGAAAGTGTTAGGAAAGTGCTTTGTCAACTATGAAATAGTCTTCAAACCTAGGTTTCATACTACAGAGACTTCCTGCACGGTTCATTTATGGTGGTTGTTTTTCTTATTAGGCTATCAAAAGAGCTTCTTTTGGACCCACAACAAACTCTGGTCTTCAAAGTTTGGCACAAAGGAGGTATGAACTCTATCCTGTCTGGTTGTAAAAATAAGCTCACACCCTCTTGACACTTTGCTAATCCTTTTTTTTTAACCAAGTGCAGCAATGGCACTGATGGTGCTGAGAATGTATATGTGTTCTAGGGAATTCCACAGGATGCCACTGAAATTTAAATCCTTAGAAATCATTTCATTTTGCTTAACTATGTGCTTAGTGCAGAAATCTAAGTACATTTAAATCTTTCCAGTTGTATCTCAACTATCATAATGTACAGCCTGCTATACACAAGTGATTTTCCCCCTTTTGTATGATGTTATGCCTTCTGTTTACTCTGGCTTATAAACCAAGACCCTAGCACTTTCAGGCAGCATACAAGATTAGCATCTGACAGCTTGTCCTTACTTGTTTTAAGAAACTCCCCAGGACAGAGGTGCTGACATCATGGTCATTGAACCTAGTTTTACTTAGCTATCATTTATTAAGAGGCATAATACAACAGTGTTAAGAGTACAGACTCTGAAGCTACAATCTTTGAATTCTAATACCAGTTCTGCCCTTTACAAGGTAGTAAGACCTTAGATGAATGACTTCTCTGTGCTTCAGTTTCCTTATCTATAAAATAGGGATAGTAATAGAACTTACATCATAGGGTTTGGGGAGAATTAAATGAATGTCTGATACTTAGTATTAACACCATCTCATTTTTTGTTTTTATTAGCAAATGACACTGCGCTAAGAGCTTTACAAAGATCTCTAATCCTGCAAAGTAACAATATAATTAGTTCAGTTTTGTACATATAAAAGCTGAGACCCAAGGAAGTTTAGTGGCTTGACTAAGGGGTCATAGACCTATTAAATATTGATGGAGCTAGGATTTGACCCAGTTCTGACTGGCTATATAACCTTCACTATGCTAAGTGCTAGGGATACAAAAGTAAAATAAGAGAGACTATGGTCTCTGATTTCACAGAGCTTGTAGTCTAACAGTATAGTGTGATTAGGCAGATACAGGGTGATCTGGTAGGGGACAGCTAACCTAGGATGTCAGATTAGGCTTCCTGAAGCATACATACGTAAACTGAGAAATGAAGGGGCAGGACATACTATAGTCAGAGGGAATGGCAAATACAAAAGCCTAGAGTAAAGAAAGAGCATGAGAGAAGTTCAAGATGACTAGAACTGCAAAGGGAGAATGGTAAGTCGTCCTGCTAAGTCTGATGTTAAATTTAGCTCTTCAAAGCTATTGTCTTTCTCAATGATCAACTTAATCAGATTTCTGCTTAAGTATGTTTGGGGCGTAGTGCTTTCATGTTAGGCAGAACCCTCCAAGTGGTGTTACCTAGACCTAAAGTTAGAGTATATCAAGAACAAGTTACATTTCCAATAACCAAAGAAAGCAAGATTAGTTTTCTTTGCAAAGCTATAACAAATCTTGGGAGTGCAGATTAATGGCTTGAGCCATCACTCTTCATCCCCAGTAGATAAGAATTATCTACTCTGGGGAATACAACTTTAAGCATTCCTAGAATCTAAGACTATCCAAGTTGAAAGGGATCTTAAATCAGATACAGTATTTCTGATATATTGGAGACTTGAGGCTCAGGGAGTTAAAGTAGTGTGTTTTCAGTTCAAAGCCATGCTCAGATTGCTGTTGTGGCACACTGCTACTTTGTCCCAGTCTACATTGACCAGTTCATTCATGTTCTCAGTGGATGTTTATCTATTTCTTCATGATGTGGGAAGCTGTTATGCCAGGTACAGAGAGCGTAGGGAACTTAAAGTCTGGTCTCAGCTTTTTGGTAGGTCCCAGTCTAAAGAAGAGCAAGCTGTGTAAACAAATATTAGACAGTATGTGATGAGTTCAGTTTCACCAGCAGTGTGCGCAAGGAACTGAGAAACTCATGACCACTCTTGAAAATTTGCATCCCTTGATTTATTTAGCAATTTGAAAACTGAGAATTGTGTCCATGTTTGGTAGAGTTAGCCTTTGATATTCTGTGTAGAGGATGAAGCCTATATAAAACAGGAACTTGGAGTGTTTATCCCCAGCTACTTTCATGTCAGAAATGAGAAATAAGAAGCAGTGAGTCTCAGAATGAAGGTCATTGAATGGTAGCTTTTCCAGCCAAGAAGGATCTTCAGTTATTAAAAGGAGCCCCCTTATGAACCAGAGCCCAAGCTCATTTTGCACCCCTGTGCTGGCTTTCCAGAGAGTTATTTGTCTCTCTTTTGAGATTTATGTCACTTTTGTTTTTAAATATAAAATATATGTATATTATAAAAATTTTTGAAAATACAGACAAGTATAAATAGGAAAATGTAAATTTCTCATAATTCCAAGGACAACGATTTTTCTTCTGTTTAAGGGGTGTTTTCCAGTTGTTTGTATCAAGAGAATAAAACTCTACTCTGCCAGCTTTTCCCTTCCATACAAAAAGGGAATTCAGAACAGTGAAAGCAGATTGTCATTGTCTCTCTCATCCTCATTATTTGTCTTTTCTGTTGGTTTTGGAATCACTGATTCCTCCCCGAGTCAGTCTCATTATTTGTCTTTTCTGTTGGTTTGGGAATCACTGATTCCTCCCCGAGTCAGTTCCTCTGTGTGTAGATAGCCTTTAATCTCAGTGGCAGGACATGCCCAGCCACAATGCCCAGTTCTTCTCTTTTCTACAGATGAGGAGAGGGTGATTGGCTTTGCCTCGGTGGACCTCTCCCCGCTTCTCTCTGGTTTCCAGTTTGTCTGTGGCTGGTACAACATCACAGACTTCAGTGGAGAGTGCCAGGGGCAAATAAAAGTTGCTGTCTCCCCTTTGGAGAGTTTGATGCACTTCAAAGAAGAAAGGCAAGCAAGACGTGTTGTGGAGACCCAAGGATCACTGGTATGTGTCCTGATTCACATCCTTAAACAGTAAGGGATCTACTGAGTAAAACCTATAAGAAGATCTTTTTCATGTGATAGGTACTTTCCAGCTTATAGAACACTTTATATATTTGTGTCTGATAATGATCTCATGACCTTTTGGGGGTAATGAAAAATGTTCTGGAACTACATAGATGGATGTACAATGTACATCTCTGAATATACTGAAACTCACTGTACTGAACACTTTCAAAGGGTGAACTTTATAAGATATGAATTATATCTTAGTTTTTAAATAAAATAAGATTAGTTGTAGTATGGAATCTGAAACCATATTGATCGAACTTTTTAAAAAACTATTACATTAAAATCACTGGTCTATCATAAAAAAAAATAATTAAAAGAGAGGGAATGGGAAGAGAGGAATTGATAGTTAGCAGAGACGACTCTTAGGGAATTTACCTATAAAGGAAAGGAGAGTTTTCCAGACTGTCCCAGATCGGGTAATTCTATCAAGGCAAAGACTTTTTTTCATCTCTTTTATCCCACATGCCTGGCCCAGGGTCTAGCAGAGTGGGCATTGCTAAATAGTGGATGAATGAACACATGAGAAAATGACAAAGAATTAAATGGTCCCTATATTGTAAGATCTTTTCTTCACATCAACCATGGTAATCATGAGACAAGAAATAGCGCAGCCAGATTATTCTCACATGTGAAGTATATGTAAGATGATATACAGCTGGGAGTTTACAAACTAACTGGAGGAACAAGAGCACAAATATAGATAAAGTCATAAAAAGCAATTGGATAGCATAGTGTATAAAATGAGAATAATATTAGTACCTACCTCATAAGATTATTGTGAAGTTTAAATAAGAAAATAGATATAAATTGCTTAGTACAGTGTTCAAGACATATTCAGTAAATTACGAGATATGTACTGAGATAATAATACTGAGAAGATACTCAGTAAAATATGCTTATACACATACAGTAAATTTTGCAGATTTTTCTACTACCTTGTTCCAAAAGGATTTGTCGTGACAAATATACCATTTTTCTCATCGCTTCTACAGATCCCAAAATACAGTCCCTTTTCCTTCCCTATCTCTGATATGTATGCTGCATTCCCCAGCTGCATTGCAAGACAGACCCCAGAACAACTTGCTCACACATCATCAAAGGAGCTTGATTTCTCCTCTCCTGGGAGGTGAGTGATTTCTTGCTGATAGAAAGAAATGGTGTCAGAGAGTGGAAGTGTGAGAACTGGTTTGTCATTTCTTTCTTTCCTTTATGAGAGGAAGAAACTAGAGACTGGGAAAGAGCTTTATTGACCTTCTGTCAAACCCCTGGGAATCCTAAGACCTTATGAAAATAAAGTTTTTATAATATGGGAACTAGAACTTTTACTGCTATCAAAAGGATAACTTCAATGCAAGGGACACCTTTTTATTTTCCTCAGAGGCCTATAACCTTTATCCCTAAAATCAATCATCAGCTATGTGAGAAACATATGATCTTTCCCTCCCAAATATATGTTCCAGGTTATTTTGTAAAAAGCAACAGGCCCATCCTTTTCACCAAGCCAACCAATGCAAATGGATATGCATATGGATATCACAGCTAGAGCGTATTCCGTTCTGTCAAAGGGCAGGGTCTCAGAATAAGATTGCTTCTTTCCACCCTGGTCCCTTCTAGGCCCTAGTGCCATTTGGAATACCCCTGCCTCCTCCAGTCTTTCTAGTGTCTTTCCACTTCAGGGAGAAGATGGGGACCTTCCCTTATAGCAGCTACTTCTACAGCAGCAGTTACTGAGTAGAACCTAAATATATTCCAAGAAACACATTCTCTAATACTGCTTAACTACTCTAAGGGTCATTTCTGTGCTGTGTAGCTTTCTACCTGCTCACCACATGAAGGAGAGCCTCTACCCTCTGCATAAAGGGAGCCCACGTGTCTGCCAAATCCTAAATCCCAGGTGTAGATAATTTCTCTGTTATTTATTTTATAGATGTTACTTTGATCATAGCCAATCAGTGAGACACATGGGTAGGATGAAGATACTAGTACAAGGATAGAAATATATAGATCAATGGTGAGGCCACTATTTAATAATTGTAAAAGCTAAAAGTTTAATAGTTTGCTTTTTGTCTACATAAAAATGTCTGTACCTACTTCAAAGGGGACATATCAAAATGACATATTCTAAACTACCCATCCATCCAAGGCTAGCCAAATTGTGGTATATTCATACAATGGACTACACTCACAGATAAAAAGGCACTATTGATGTACAACAAAATTAATCTCAAAATAATTATGCTGGGAAAAAATACATTGTATATGATTTCTTTTATGTAAAATTCTATAAAATGCATAGTAATCTATAGTGACAGAAAGCAAATCAGTGGTTGCCTAGGGACAAAGCAGGATGAATGAAGCAAGGAGGAAAGAATTACAAAGGATAGAAGGAAACTTAGGGCTGTTGGATATGTACATTATCTTGATGTGGTAATACTTTCCTTAGATATAAATATGTGTCAAAATTCATCACATTGTACTCTTTAAATATGTAAAGTTTATTATATATTGGTTATATTCTGGTAAAGCAGTAGTTCTCAAACATACCTACTTCAGAACCCCTTTATACTCTTAAAAATTGATGACTTCAAAGAGGTTTGTATATGTAGGTTATATCTATCAATTGTTTACCATTAGAAATTTAAACTGAGTAACTTTTAAAACATAACATACTAAATCAATTATATGTCTATACATCTGCAATGAATAGTCCAAAATGAAATTGGAAAAACAATTCCATTTGCAATAGTATCAAAAAGAATAAACATATTTAAGAATAAATTTAACAAAAATAGTACAAACTTATTCTCTGAAAACTATAAAACATTTCTGAAAGAAATTAAAGAAGGTTTAAATAAATAGAAAGACACCATATTCATGGATTGGAAGACAATATTATTAAGATGGCAGTACTCCCTAAATTACAGATTCAGCACAATCTCTGCTGGATTCCTTATGGAGATGGGCAAGCTAGTCTTAAAATTCATATGAGAATTCAAGGGACACAGAATAGGCAAAACAATCTTGAAAAAGAAGAACAAAGTTCCTGATTTCAAAACTACAAAGCTACAGTAAACAAAATAGTGTGATACTGGAATAAGGATAGGAATATAGATCAGTGGAATAGAATTTGACATCATGCTATCCTTGATGAACAAATAGGATAGCCTGATGTCAAAGATGCCCAGATGGTTTAATGAGGAAAAAATAGTCTTTTCAACAAATGGTGCTGGAACAATGTTTATTATCATATGTAAAAGATTGAAGTTGGATCCCTTCCTCACACCATATATAAAAATGAACTCCAAATAGATTATATATCTAAATGTAAGAGCTAAAACTATAAAACTCTTGAGAGAAAATGTAGGGGTAAATCTTCATGACCTTGGACTAGGCAGTGATTCTTTAGATATTATACTAAAAGCAGAAGCAACAAAAAAAAAAAATAAATGTAATTTATCAAAATTAAAAACTTTCATGCTGCAAACAATACCCTCAAAAAGTGAAAAGATAACCAACAGAATGAGAGAAAATATTTGCAAATCATAATTCTTATAAGAGACTTGTATCCAGAATATATAAAGAATTCTTACAACTCAATAACAAAAAGCAGATAACTCAGTTAAAAATGGGCAAGTAATCTGAATAAACATATCTCCAAAGAAGATATACAAATGGCCAGTGAAAACATACTTGAAATGTAAATGAAAACCATAATGAAATACCACTTTACACCCAGTATATGATTATATGGCTATAATCAAAAAGACAAATATCATAGGTGTTAGGGAGGATGTTAAGAAATTTGAACTCTTATACATGGCCAATGAGATTTTAAAATGGTACAGCCACTTTGGGAAACAGTCTGGCAAGTCCTTAAAAGGTTAAACGTAGGGTAACCTTATGATTCAGTAGTTTCACTCCTAAGCATATGTATGTATGTATGTATGTATGTGTGTGTGTATGTATATATATGTATATATACATATATACAAGAAAAATGAAAACTATGTCCACACAGAAACTTATGCACGAATATTTATAGCAGCATTATTTCTAATAACCAAAAAATGGGAACACCCAAAATGTCCATTGACTGATGAGTACACGAACAAAATGTGATTTATTTATACAATGGAAAATTATTCAGCCATGAGAAGGAATGAAGTACTGATATGTACTACAACATGGATGAAGTTTTGATAACATTATACTAAACGGAAGAAGCCAGTCACAAAAGCGCACATTCTATAAGATTCTATTTATAGGAACTATCCAGATTAGGCAAATTTGTAGAGACAGAAAGCAGATTAGCAGTTGCCTAGGGCTAGGAGGTTTGGGTAGGGGTTAGGAAGGGAAGAGGAAATACTGAGGGATTGCTGATGGGTCTAGAGTTTCTTTTGGAGGTGATGAAAATGATGAAAATGTTCTAAATTTGATTGTGATGATGGTTGCACAACCCTGTATTTACTAAAAGCTATTAAATTTTTCACTTTAAATGGGTGAGTTGTATATGTGAATTATGTCTTAATGAAGCTGTTATTTAAAAGGAAGATTATTGCTGGGGTCAAGTTCTTGAATACCATGCTAAGGAATTTGAAATTTGTTCTATAGATAAAAAAGAGAAGCCAAAGCTAGAAAAGAATGATGGTGATAAGTTAGTACACATTGAATGCTTAGAACAGTGCTTGGCACGTAATAAGAACTCCATAAATGTTGTTTTTGTTATTGTTATTTCAGATCCATGTTTTTAAAAAATCACTCAGGCTATAATGTGGAGAATTTATTAAAGGGGAATGGGTAAGACTAAAGGCAAGATTATTTAAGAGATAGTTGTAATCCAAGCAATTGTTGATGAATCTGGAACTATGGTTAGTGGTTCCCAACCATTTCAGGAAGTTGATTTATTCATTGTCATACTAGGAGTTTTCTCCTTGGTTAGGCATTTATTTGCCCTCATTTATTTCTAACAGAAGCAGTACCGCAAGAAACCAGGCATCACGCCATGAAGAGCACGTGCAGAACATCCGCCGATTTCATGAATCCCTGCAACAGGGAGAGGCAATCTTGCCAAGTAGAGACAAACTGACCACATCGCCGTTGTCCTCCCATCCTTCCATTTTGACTTCTCTCAGGTGAGTCCCTCTGCTGAGAAAAGACACAAGAAACCATAGTGGAGCACAAGGTGAATGGGCAGTGGCAACCTGCAGTACAGCTCTTGCATTAGCTACCACTACTCTGGGAGGTTTAATAGGGCCTTTTGTGCACAGTAGTGTCTAGGATGACCCTGGAGCCTCACAGGATTCCTCATAGATGAATCTGTCTCAGCTCAGGGACCTTTAAATATAGGAACTTAAGATTATTCACCAAGCTTAATGATAACTACCCTCATATCTACACAGTCTCTCATCTACTTTACAGGTTACAAAGCCTCATTCTGCCCACTGTCTTTATCCTCACAACCACTGGATTCTTCCAGACCAGCATCTGTACTGTTAATGCTTTCCCTGTCTCTTTCTTAGTTTAGTCAGCATCTGAGCCAGAGAAGCACTGTGGGAATTGAAAGGGCCATTACAGATCATCTGGATCCACCCCTGGATTATCTAGTAGGGAGTGTGGTGCAGTGGGAAAGACTTGGCTTCAGAGCCAGATAGACCTGACTTCCAATTCTGGCTCTGCCATTCCCTGTGAAGGAGATAGCCATATTGCCAGATAATGATAATAATGTGGGATAAGAGCTACAGATTTCCTGGCTGAGGGTAGATGGAGAAATGAATAACATTTTAGTATGGTCTTGGTAAGATTTAAAGAAGTCACATTTGGACTTCTTTAAATGGTCTTTGAAGGAACAGGTCAACAAATGCGAAGGGCATTCTGTGCAGAAGAAACATGCTAAGGCCCAGAGGCATAGTCCAGTATGAGGAAATACCAGCAGTGTAATTAAGATAAAACTGAACATAAAATTAAGAAACGGGTTGAGTTCTGTAGGGGTCAGATCTTGAAGGGCCTAGAATATCAGACTAAGAGTTTGAACTTTTAAAACAATGATTCTCAAGTAGAAAGTGGTGGGGAGAGGAGGAAGAGTGTGTGTAAAGTTTGAGGAAAAAATATTTAAAAATTTTTTTATTTGGAAAAAACTAACCTATTATTTGGTTTCATAAAGCAAGCTCAGAAAAGAAAGATTGGCAAAGTATTTTTGATGGGTGGAACATGGGTTAAAAAGGATTGAGCAGTTATTCTATAAACTATGGAAAACTGCTCAGACTTACATTACAAGTAATATGTTCAGATTCTCATTTTAGATTCTTAGCTAGAGACTGGAGGCTATTTAAGTAAGAGCATCATGGTATGGCTGCATTTTATTGGGTTATTCTCATCACATATTTTAGAACTCACTGAGAAAAGAGAAAAAGAAACTCTCCTTCACCTAAAGCAGTTTCTCTCAACCTCAGCACTGTTGACTTTTGGGCCAAATATTTTGTTATGTGGGGCCTGTCTTGTGATATTTAGCAGCATCCTTGGACTCTGTCCACCAGACACCAGTAGCACCTCTCCTAGTTGTGTTCCCACACGTTACCAAATGTCTTTTCAGGGCCAAGTCACCAGGCTTAAAACCACTGCCCTAGAGCAGTGGTTCTCAAAATTCAGTGTGTATCAGAATCACATGAAAGGACTTGTTAAAACAGTGATAGCTCTGACCTTCCTGTACAGTTCTCAATTCATTAGGGCCTGAGAATTTGCATTTCTGATAAGTTCTCAGGTGATACTGATGCTGCCAGGTTTTGAGAACCACTGCTCTAGATGAATTTTCTACCAAATGGAGAGGAACCAAGATAATACCAATTTTGCATTACTTCCTTGGATTCACAAAGCCCTAAAACTATTTCATTTGAGTCCTATGAGGCCTGCAGGGCAAGTATTAACCTTTTTCACAGATGAGAAAATTGTAGCTTGATATTAGTAGGTTCTATATCCAGAATCTCTGACAAGGCTGATTGTATTTGCATATTTTCTAAAGCTCCACCATGTTTACATTTGTTATACCATTATTACATATGTTTCTGCTATAGGCATATTCCTCGTGGCATATACCCAGACATAGACACCTAAGTAAATCCATTGTGATTTGATAGAGTCGTGACTTCTAGTGACAGAATAAGGACAAGCTTTGTCCTCTCATTTGATTTGGAGTTAATTCTAAGACATGTAGACTGTTCCTAACAAAAGGATAGAAAGCTTTTTGGTTTACTTCACAGGTATATAGTGTCTATGTTGTGCCAATTGTATAAGGCACATTGAGTACACTAGAGAAATAGAAAAGAGTGAGATAATATCTTCTATTACCAGATGCTCATGGCCTAGTTAGGGAAACTAACTCATAATGAGAAAACTAAAGGAAAATCTAAGACAGCAGGTTGATGGAGATGTCAAGAGCGAAGGAGTTTAAGGGAGAAGTAGCTGAGTAATTTGGAGTGATAAACTTTGAAAAGGAGAAATATGTGCACCTTAAAAGTTGAATAAAATGTGGGCAAAGCAAGGAGAGTAGCTTGAACTCAGGTTCCAGCATTCAGACCTGTGAGACAGGAGCAAACATAGCTGGGACAGGGCCCATCTATTATGGAAAAAGCCCAAGACTTGGAGTCCCAAATTTTGAGTAGCTGTGTACTACTTACTACTCGCTGTGGACAAATCACTTAAATCCTCTGATTCTCAAATTTCTTATTTGTAAAACAACAGTTATTTATTTCAACTGATAGGCTGAGAATTAAACAAAATAATGTATCTGAAAGCATAAAACAAAATTCTGTGCAAATGGTGGTTGTGATTGGTGTGATTTCTCATTGGAGAATGGTAAGAATAAATGTGGCCCTATTAAAGGTTTTTGAACAGAAGTTTTTAAAAGTAATTTATTCATGTTTGTTTATTCATTCAACATTTATTTATTTCATGCCAAGAACTATGCTGGGTGTAGTAGATATAAAGGAATCAGCACAGAGCTTATAGTTCATCAGGGGAAATAAATGTGAAACAAACAAGTGATATGATTGAAGAGCACAGAAAGAACTGTGGAGCACAGAGGAGGGGCCCTTAAACCACCTTGGAAGGTCAGGGAAGGCTTGCTAGCAGAGGTCACTTGCTTGAAGGATCAGGAATGGTTATGAGGTAGCAAAGGTCAGTGTTAGCCCAGAGTAAGGCCTTATTCTGTCAGTAAGAAGACATGAAGATTGGAATGATGGTCAAGAATGGTTCCCTACATCACAGGGATATGAAATACAGCATAGGAATATAGTCAATAATATCGTAATAATTATGTATAGTGCCAGGTGGGTTCTAGACTAATCAAGGGGATCACTTTGTAAATTATATAAATATCTAACCACTATGCTGTACACCTGAAACTAATATAAAATGATATTGACTGTCAATTCTAAATGAAAAATTTAAAAAGAAAAAATTTGTAACTGTATAGTGATGGATGTTAACTAGATTTATTGTGGTTATTATTTCACATTATAGATGGTCCCCAATTAAAAAAAGAATGGTTCCCTATAGGAAGGTGGGATTTTTGCTGGACATCAGAAGAGGAATCACATTAGCCAGAGAGAAGTGGAAGAAAGTTGTTCCTGGCAGCACAACTGTAGTCAGAGAAATTAAGGATGAATTGGTGGGTTGGAGAGAGAGGTCCTAGTATTAATAGACCAGGTGAGAGGTTTTAAGGTCCTAGCTCAAGCAGTAGAATATCAGAGAACATAAAAAATGCTTGTAATCCCAGTGAATGACCCTTTTGTCCTCTTCTCCCCTTCTTTTTCTACAGGAGGAATCTGAGTGAGCTAGACCAGATCCAACGGTACTTCAGCCAGAAGCTCATCAAGCCTGTTCTTCCCCTCAGTCCTCAGACTCAGACCATCTTGGAGTGCCAGCAAAACCATAGGGACTGTCATGGGCCAGGAGCTAGCAGCCTAGACCCTGAGAGCCAGTGCATCCTGGAGAAATCCAATAACCTGGTGTTGCAAGTCAGCTCCTTAATCACGGGTATGGCTTAGGGCCCCGTTTGTGAGGAGTATGGTCACTGGGTATCTATTCAAAAAGCATTTGAATGTCTGCCCTCAGATAAGCCCCTATGACTAACAGAGACCAATAGATTTTACTATCTTACTTTCTTATTCATTTATCATTTTCCTTTTACAAGGAGAGGCGTAGTTTTATAATAGCACAGGAACATGAGCAATGGAAAAGGCATTGAACCTGAAAGGCAGGAGACCCGGGCAGGAGACCTTGGTAGGTTTCAGGCACGGACTTACTAATTGACTCTGAGCATACCCTTTCCCTCTTGAAGTTTTCCCCAACCAAAAAAAGGGCAGGGTAGATTAGATGAGCTTTTCAGTAGCAGTTCTTGAACTAATGCCACTCCATTTTCAGAAAAAATCAACTACAGATATATTTAAAATTCTAATTCTCAAAGCCCACAAGTCCTCATTTTTAGCAAGCACCCTAGATGCTTCTGGATGTTGGTAATCCATTGTCTACCCTGTGAAAAATTACGTAAAGCAGTGGTTCTCACTTTGGCTGTATATTGGAATTAATGAGGGAGCTTTTAAAAATCTAGATGCCCAGGCTGCACCATAGGTCATTTGCTTCAGGAGCTCTAAGATGGGATCTGGGCATCAGTATTTTCATCACTCCCTAGGTAATTTCACTGTGCAACCCAAACAGAGGTCACTCCAGAACAAGTATTTCCAGACTTGCTTGAGTGTGAGAATCACCTGAGGTACTTATTTTGAAATACAGTTTCCTGTGTCCTGTCCTATCCTACTGAATCAGAATCCAGCATTAAGCCCTGGAAACTTACATATCAGGCATGCTTTGGGGAGTATTGAGAAATCAATTAGATCATCACCTTTAGCACTCAGTGTCATTTTTGCTTAAGGAGAATGTATAGATTGTATGCAGGAATGGATAAGTTCCATTTTCTCTGTTCAAAGGGGGAAATATTTATATTAGACAACAACCTTCTGCCTACCTTCTTTTCCCAGATATTTAAACTTTTGGTAGCCAGGGCCCCAGAGGTATACTCTGTATTTTGTCTTCCACTTGCTTGCAAGTAATATTCAGTCAGCTATTTATTGGACACCAACTATGCCAGGCATTATTGTGTTACTAGTTTCAGGAATATACAGTGGTAGCTAAGACAGGCATTGTCTCTGCTTTCATCAAGCATACATTCTGTAGTCAACCAAAGAAACTACCCCCCAGAAAGAAAGCATAAGAGCAAAACAGAGGGAGCCTTGTTTGGGGTCAAAATAAGAGCAAATAGAGAATCCCTTTAAAGGAATATATATTAAAGAAGGAGAGAGAAGGAATTGAAGGACTGAAGCTGGAGGGCCTTGAAGGCAAGCTTGAGACTTTAATCTTTATCCTAGAAGAAAATGGGAAGTTCTAAGCAACGAGATGACAGAATAAGAACTGATTTTTCACAAGTAGAACGAATTTTGAAAAAGACAGTTGGATCAGGGAAACCAGTTTAAACAAACAAACTCCACCTGCCTCCATTATGTCTCAATATGCTTTTGAAGAAGTCATTAGACAGGTAGATATGAGTGAAACTCGAGAGGGAATTACTGAGTGGGGGTTTCATTTATGCTACATCTATGTGCCAGGTCCTTTGCTGGGCCCTGAAATTGCAACATGAATCACATATATATGATCTGTGCCTTTGAGAAGCTCATAATCTGATGGGAGATTTATACAGACAAACAGTTATACAGTAGCATATTCTTAAGTACATCCATATAAAACAAAGCTGTATAGCCATCCTATCCATTTGGTGCATCTGACAGGGCTTCCTGGAGTTGATGAAGTAGAGCAGGGTCTTAAAGGACAAGTTGGTTTATAAAAAGCAGAAAGACTGCTCCAAGACAGAAAGTAGTTCAGGCCAAAGGACCAGGATCAACTAAGTCTACTTCCTGGTTCCTGTTCCTGTTTGCAGGTAGGGATGTTCTCTTTTCATACATCTATTCACTGTCCTTTGAGACCTGAAAATTGTCAATGTATTAAACTCAGCCAATACCTCCTGTGGGATGAGGGCTCTGTTAGGTGCTATGAGGGATCTGTGACACCTGCCCCCTGGAAGTCAAATGTTCCTCCAACTCCTTTCTACTCTCAAATAATCATGTAAACCTATATAATTTACTAAGCCTTTTTAATCATTTATTTTCTCTCATTTTATCCCCAAAACAATTTGAGGTGACTAGTAGCTTCCATGTATTATGTATGTGTCACACAATATGTGCTCACTTATCTCATGTATTCTTTATACCAAAACTTTGTGAAAAGGGTGGTGGTAATCACATTTTAAAGATAAACAGACTCAGAGAGGATAGTTTGCTGGTGACCCCAAAGTTGGTAGAGATTTGAACCAAAGACTGACCAGCTCCAAAGCCTCTGCTCTTTCCAACACACCATGCTGCCTCCATTTTCTCTGTAAACCTCCCTTGCCTTATCATTTGGGTGATAGATATTTCCTTGCTTTTGTTTTATAGGTAAAATAAATAGTTCTAATAGTTGTCATCAAATAGGTAAATAAGTGGATTCTCATTTTGGTTTTTAATATAGGTAATTACTGAAGTAAATGGAAGCGTGAACATGCCCACCAGGACTCCCAGCTCCCAAGAATTCCTGAGCAGGAGCAGATAGTCTCTGAAAGCGTTTCTACAGATGTAACCACAACTCTAAATAGATTAGATTTTGGTCTTCTGATATTAGAATAAAATGCTAGAAATCGTACTGCCTTGAATATAGTTTCACTGACTCTTGGGTGGATTAACTATTAAGATTCGTTCAAAATCTGATTGCAAGAATACTTCTGAAGCTAGAGGCTAGTGTGGGAAAGTTGAATGGTCTGTGGCCCTACCTTGTAATAAGAGTGGTATCTTGCTGTTCAGATCTGCAGACTATCACCAGGAATTCTCAAGCATCTTTGAGTTCTCACCGAGCCAGGAGTCGAAGCAGAGAAGTTACCACTCTCCCAAATGCTCAGGACACAGAAGCCACACAAGTACAAAGTACAACTCCAGACCTGTCAAGAGTTTTAGATGAAGGCACAGACTCCCCACCTCCCCCTACTCTTGAAGCTACTTCGAGTGGAAGAGGAATGTTCCATGAGTCTCTGGGAAACACAGTACCCATTACAAGGATGCAGAGCAGTGAGGACACTGAGGCAGGCCCAGCCTACAGTGATGAAGACTATGAAGAAGACATCATTGAACCCAGGACACTCAATGAGATCACCACTGTAACAGACAAAACTAGCCCTTGGTCCAGTTTCATGTCGGACACAAGTGAGATCATCAGCCTTCAGCCTGATGAGATGCAGAGGGTAGGCCCCTCTTGTCCTTCTCCAGAGCCTTGCCCCAGAGAGGAGCTCAAGGGCAGAAATAGCTTTCTGTCCAGCCCAGAAAGAGCTGCCAACTCCCACCTGCCTAGGCAGGGTTCTGCTAGCCAAAGTCTTGTTTCTTATGAAGGTGAGGGCTCTAAGGCCAGGGTTGGAGAGCTTGCTTCAGCAGACCTTCAGCTAACCCCTCACGTGACACTTTCAGGAGCCCAACAGAGCAATACCTGCTCATCAAGAGCAGATCAGGACCAGGAGCCCAAGCCAACAGCCCAGGCTGAGAATGCAGCCGCCTCCAGTGAACTAAGTGACTCTGCTGATAGCTTCGAAAAATTCCCTCTACACCTAGCCTCCCGGAACAAAAGGGAAAACCATAAGAGACCACCCATCAACTGCCCTGATATCAGGCAGAAGCAGGCAACATCTAGATCAGAGGTTTCCACAAAGCAGAGCCTCCTGTATCCTTTGGTGTTTCCCACAAGTAGTCCCTGAAGCCATCTCTGGGATGCTGATGCTTAGGCCAGCCTAGTGTAAGCATGAGCAGTGGCTACCACCCTCATGGATGCACTGAGGGGCATGGGTAGACCCTTTAGAAGACTCATCTGCCCTGACAAGGTGCTCCGATTCTCCCATTAACACCAGCACTCTGAAGTGTAATGCTTTGAACTGGGTTCAGGTGTTGGGAGCACATTTATTAGCCTAGCCTAGCCTGATTTATCTGGTTAATCTTTTGGATATTTTACATCCGAATGAGACCTTTAATCTCAGTTGAAACAGAAGTGGAGGGTACAGAGGGAAAGAAGAACACTACCACTCATTGAGCATTTACTTTGTGCTAGGGACTTAACATACATTTTTCTTTCATTCATCACAAATCTTTAAAGTCGGTATCATCATTTCTATTTTGCATGTAAGGAAACAGGCTCAGAGTTATAGTGACTTGCCTAATATTTTTTTTGAAAAGCAAGTGATGGAGCCAAGGGGAGGGGAAGTGGGCACGAGTGAAATGGACTTGCCCAGCCCCTCACCCACCCAGTATGACAGTGTCGATGGGGAGAAGGGGTACCTGCCATTCCTACATTCCCCCTCTTCAGGGGAGAAGAGCAGATTTCCATTTTGGACATGTGCTTGTAAGACATCCAGGCCTGGAGTTCAGGACGAGATGTGCTATGAAGATAAGTATCTGTGGAAATAGATAAGGGCAGCAGGGAGAGCATGGAAAAGGAGAACCACACACACAAGATGGAACCATAAAGATCACTACTATGTAAAGGGCAGGCAGGACAGACACCCACAGAGGAGCAGGAGAAGAGTTGGTCACAGGTGGAGGGGCAGGAGACAGGCAGTGTGGGAGCAGAGTTTCAGAGAGGAGTGGTCAGCACTCTGACACTTAAGACAGGCCCAATAGCATATGGACTAACCTGTATCCAATGGCTTTAACATTAAGGAGGACAGCACAAAAGGGGAAATGGGAGGCAGACTTCATTGAGTGAGGGAACCAGTGGTAAAGACAGTGAGAGCAAGCAACTTTTTCCCATTAACCAGGAGACAGGAATAGCTGATATTTGAGTGCTTGCTGTGTGTCAGATACCATTCTAAGCACTTTGCATGTATAAACTCTTAACCCTCAAAACAAAAGGTGCTACCATTGTATCTATTTTACTGGTGAAGAAACAGACATAAAAAGTGAACTTTCCTGAAGTTAATAAATGGCAGAGGTTACTATTGGAGTAGGACCCTTAGAAAGGCAGCAGATGATGGGCTGAGATGGGGAGCCTTGGTGTTTCAGACACACCCCTGATAACCTCACAGCAAAGCTGTTCCTTCCCTACAGCATCAGCTGACTATCTGGCAGATTCCCCAGGAGTTAGCAAATAAGCCCTACCTCACCAGGACCTCTAAAGAAGAGTCAGGGACTTGAACCAAAGCAGGAAATAATGCATTTCTTTTACTCGTTAGATATTTATTGAACCCTTATTGTGTCCTAAGTACTATGCCAGGTGACTGGAATGTGGCTGTGAAAGAGAGGTTATCTCTGCTCTTTTTTTTTTAATTATTTTTTTATGGTGACATGGGTTAACTATATCCAATAAGTTTCAGCTGTACACTTTAACAATAAGTCATATATATATTTACACTGTGTGTTCACCTCCCATAGTTAGATTTCTTTCTGTCACCACATATTTATATCTCTGCTCTCTTGGAGTTCAAAGTCCAGCACGGAAATACGATGATAAATCAGTCCAAATCAGAACTATACTTAGCTATTTGAACAGAAACAAAAAATTAGAACATCAAAATAGCCCCCTCCCTCCCCTCCCAAAGTGAATGTAGGCTTTGATTGAACAAATATTTGTGGAGCACCATGTTCTCAACACGTTACTGAGTACCTCCAGAGGATATAAGGAGAACTATAAGGTCTAGTACCTGCCTTCATGCACTCACATCCAGACTGGGTTGACCAGCTATACCCACCTAGGCAGAGCTCTTATTTCTAGATGTGGCCAGAGGACAACCAAGAGGACAGACCCTCCTTCAGGGCCAGGTATCTCCCTCCAATCTAAGACACTGCCCCTGGAGCTGCCCCAACCCTGTCTGACTGACTGCTGACAGGTCAGTTTTGGGCCAGCGGGCCCTCAGCAAGTAGCGTTCAACACTTGCTACCTACCAACCACATGTGGAGATCCATGGAAGCAGTGAGGTAACTGAAGGATACAATACCATCTCTGCCTTTGAGAAGTTTAGAGAATATTAAGAGAAACACACTGAGACTCGTATCAGACTAAGTCAGCCATCATTACCCTGTATTGCAGACCTGCTCTAGATTGAAGAAAGAGGGATCACTGTGGGCTAAGATTAGGAGAAAGCTTCCTGGAGAAGGTGGGATGCTTCCTGGAAGAGGTGTGATTTGAACTGACCCATCAAGCATAGACTGATTTGTTAGGAGTGGAAAGGGCTTTTCAAGGCAGAGTGAACTGCTTAAGCAAAGGATTCCCAGACAGAAGTAAGTTGGGGGGAAAAAATAATGGGGGTGATTGAGGTCAGTGAAGATGTGGTCTGGCAAGGGGTAAAGTAGGATTTCTAGGTGTTTGTGTCCCTTAACTACCACTCTAGTCCAGAGCCCATCGTGGTGCCCAACTTCTTTTTGCCTCCCCAGCAGTTGGAGGCCTCCCTGCGGATGCTCTCACTCTCTACAGCTTTGCCACCACCGGCCACAACAGATCAGGTAAGAGAACAGCCAGCCAACCTCCCTCTCTCCTATAGTCACCTCGTCCATAAAGTCTACAGAATGCAGAGCTGCCCCAGGCCAGCTTCCTGACTGGGTTGTTTACAGTGGTCACTCACCAAGCTTGTATTGAGCATATTCTATGGGCCCAACAGTGGGCAAGGAATTCAGGAAAAGTGAGGAAGAGAATATGTGTTAAGGGCAGGGCATCATTAGCTAAGGCGACATGTGGAACCAACAGTGCAGAAGCATAAAAAGCAGGACTTTGCTAAGAAATGCATATGGAGTGCTATGGGAGCTCCAGCTAAGCAAAGGTGGATATGAGCCGAGGAAGCTTCAAACAGATGTAACCTTAGGAGAGCTAACAGATGAGTAAGGTCTGGATGAAGAGAATAACATCAGTGGTATATATACCTACTCGTTTGCAGAACACCTCATAACTTCATCATTCAGCCAAGTTAGGTGGTTGGAAACCTAATAGAAATCCCAGTCCTCTTTTCTGCGCTGGCACAGCACCTGACCTTTCTTGTAGGTGGCAATAAAATAAAAGTAACTACTTTTCTAACCATGAAACACTAATAATAATCAAAGAATAAAATGTTTACGGGTTGTGATGAGTACTGGATGCTCTGATAAGGAACACGGTCTCTCTCTCCGAGAAGGCAGTGTTTAAGCTAAAGATGGTCATGGTGGTGCTTGTAAAGTATCAAGCACTGTTGGAAGCACTTTATATTAGCTCACATAATTCAGAAACACACTTTTATCTCTATTTTAAGAGGAAGAAACTGAGGTACAAAGAAGTTAAGTAACTTGCCTCACACAGGTAGTAAGTAGTAGAGCCAGAATTGGAACCCAAGCAGACTGGTTTCAAAATCTGTGTTCCCAACTACTGTATTGTGATGAAAAAGGAGCCAGCCATATAAGGAACTCGGAGAGCGGTATTCCAGGCAAAAAGAACAGCAAATGCAAAGGCCCTGAGGCTGAAAGCTTGGCATGATCTAGGAATGACACAGGCCAGTGGCACTGGAACAGAGACTGACATAATGAAGTTGAAGGGGCCAATCATACAGGACATGTAAATCATGGAAAAGAGTTTTTTTATTCTAAAGGCAAGGATGTCCACTGAAGTGTGTTAAGCAGGGGAGTGAGATCTAATTCAATTTTAAAGAATTCACCCAGGGTGCTGAATGGAAAGTGGGTTGTCTTTCAGATTTAGCAGCATGATGGTCATTGGTGATCTCGAAAGAGTAATTGCAGTGATATAGTGGAGAAGGAAGCCATAAAGTACTACTATAGTGTGCCAGGCACTATTCCAGGTCCTGGGGGGTGATTAGGCATAAAGCCCTTGCCTCATGGAACTTTAAAAAAATAATAAGATAATTTCAGAGAATAATTCATGCTATGGACAAGATGTATTAGCTTGTTTATTATTCATTGTAATAGCTAACCCCTATTTAATGTTTACTATGCATCAGTCATTATTCCAAGTATTCTACATGTATAAACTCATTTAATTCTCCCAACACCGCAGTGAGATGGGTACTGTTGTTATCCCCATTTAATAAGAAAACTGAGGCTCAGAGCTTCCCATAGCAACCTACAAGTTAATATTATTTCTATTTTATGTAGATGCATAAAGATTAAGTCACTTTCCAGAGTCTCCTAACTAGTAAGTAACTCTAAAAGTATGACTCCAAACTCTGCTTTTTATTACGCCCCTTGATGACACGGCTTCTAGTATGTTTTTCTAGCCAATTTGCCTTCTTTTAAATAGGCTTCATTTTTCAATGTAAGCATTGCTTATGCTTTTCCAGAGCCTGCTTTGATGACAGATGGGGTCAGTCCAGAAGTATCCTGAGAACCTGGGGTATAGTCCTAAAGAGAAGCCATCAGATATCTAAACCTTTTACTAGTTTTCCTTCCCCCTCTCTCCCACAACTTCCCCAGCACCATTTTCAGGACATTTAATTTATTTGGCACATGGATCAATCTAAGTTTCCACACATAATCTGTTTTTATTAAATTTGTAAATCCTCTCCTAGAAGAAAATGGGTGCCAGTCCCCTCCTGGGAGCTCTGCATTTTCATGGCCTTTATTTCTACTCCAGTTTGTGGTCACCAGCTCATCTCCTTCCTCTCTGCATCTTCCCTTGGATGACCCATACCTACCCTTCATCATTTACATGAGGGTAGCAAGGCTATGTCCAGGCAACAAACACAAGCTTATGAGCGAGAGATATCCACAAGGCGAAATACTGAATCTGCTACTCAGTAGCTAAGTGATATTGGGCAGGCAACTTGAACTTTGAGTCTAAGCTTCCTTATAAATAACAGGCTAATATAATTCTTACCTAATAGGATCTTGGCAAGAATTACCCTAGAGGGAAAAAAACAGACACTTAATTCCCTTTCCCTCTTCCCCTCCCAGCCAAGTGGGTGAAGCGTCAGTGTGAATCATGCCACATAAGAAAGGAGGTCTGTCAGCCACTTTGAGCTGTCATCCCTCACCTGCCAAGCAGAACTGCTGTTTTGCCCTTGTGTTTCTGCCTTCAGAATGTACCAACTCCCAAGGGGACATACTGTCTTTGATCTATTAAACATAAGAGATAAAGTGTGGGAGAGGAGAAGTAAGAATTTTCACTTCAATTAAAGGGCAAGTCTAGTTTTGAGAAGATAAGTCTCACACTTTCCAGCCTTTTTTTTTTCTTGCCCACAGCAAAACACCATTGTTTGCTGCTCTCAGGGCCACTTTTCTCTTCGGAACTTCATTCTGGGTCCCAAGTAGGATAATTGATCATCACAGTTCACCCCAAACTGTCCATTTTCAGCATTTAAAGTCCCACAACCCAGGAAACCTCAAGAGTTTGGTCATCATCACTGGTTATGGCCTCTCTTACTATTTGATGCATTTGTAGCCACATATTTTCTGAATCTTAGGCCAGTGGTGGATAACTTAGGGATTGAGTCAAATATGTGTTCAAGGCAAGTAGAGGCACCAAAACTTAAGAGAAAAAAATTTCTTAAATTACATATTTTTTAAAGCATTGAAATAGTCACCATGGGATAAATCAGAACTTTGATTGACTTCTTTATGCTTATAGCTTATTTTAGATTTAATTATGAGTTATATTGGGGCAAGGGCACCATAATATTCCTAGCGTGGGGTCTCTGAAAGTTTCAAAGTGGCCACACTTTGAAAAATTTAAGACAGAAAACAGTCTCTTATATTACCCATATACCTACTATTTCTCATGTTCTTCATTCCTTCTTCACATCCTGATTTCAGTCTGGAACACTTCCTTTTAATATAAAGGGAATTCATATATACTAAAGGAAATTCCTTTAGAATTTCATGTAGTGCAGACCTATTGGTAACTGATGTTCTCAGCTTCAGTTGTCTGAAAATCTTTATTTTTGTCTTCATTTTTGAAAGATATATTTTCCACTGTATAGAGAACTCGAACTTGAACTTTGTTTGCTTGTTTCTTGTAGCATTTTAGAGAACTATCATTTCACGCTACTGACTTCCATCATTTCCAATGAGAAGCAGCCATCATTCTTATTGTTGTTGCCCTGAATGTAATGTGACCTTTATCTCTGGCTACTTTTAAGATTTTTCTCTTTGGGTTTTCAACAGTTTGACTACCGTTGTGGAGACAGGGGATGGGGTTGGGGAGGAGGAGCACATAGGGCTATTCATCAGTACTAACAATGTTTTAGTTCTTAGGTTGGGTTGTGGGCTTACAGATGTTTGTTTTTATTATGCTTCATAATATACATGTATTACTTAGATTCTTTGGTATGTAACACAGTGAAATCACAAAATTGTGTAATTAAGATTTCGAGAATGATTACATGGTGACAAAATGGAGATGCCAACTCCTTCCATAAATTTGGCTATACATATAGAGCAGAGAAATAGGAGAGTGGCTAGAGTAGTATATGAGATCAAGGAAAGGTGTTTTGGATTTATTTCTTAAATATGGAAAAAAACTACATCTTTCTTTATGCTAATTCAGTGACCTCGTAAAGAAGGGAGAAGGGGAAGATGAAAGAGAGAGAGAAAATAGAAAGAACAATCCCTGGGTCAAAGGGAATGGGATCCAGAGCATGTGTGGAGGTGTTAGTCTTTTGAGAGGAGAAAGAAAACTCTCCCTGTAGCATGAAGGAAGAGAGAAAAGACAGAAAAGATGGGTCCTAAGAAGGCAGGATTAGAGATTTGGTGGGAAGGTTCCCATTCTATTTTTTGTCTTCTATTTGTAATATTTCAGGCATAGTCAACAGCTTGACATGAACGGTAGGGAGAGGAGAGCAGAAGCCCTGTCCTGTATCCCCATTTGAAGACTCCATCTGTTCTGCCTCCTCCTGCTAAGGCTAGCCTTGGCCCTGAAGGCTGAAGAGGAGCAATTTGAGAGGCTGCTGGGTTCTTCTCAGCCGGTGTCCTGAGACTGTTATACTGCAGCTGACCTTCAGGACCAGGGCAAGTGACCCATCCCTGAAAAAGAGAGCCTGTAAGTGCTGGCTCAGTTGCTCTGGCTTCATCACAAGATCTAAGGGAAGGCCTAATCCTTCACTCCAGGAATCTCCCAGACAGTCTCCACTTCAAGCTGCTGATTCCGTTTGCTTAGTAACTATGAGCAAACTAGTTTTACCAACTTCCCAGAAGCAGAGGAAAGAAGTAAAAGATGAGACACCAGTAATTTACATGTTGTTTTCCCCAGACTTATGTCTTCTGCTCTTGTTGATGTTTCTTTAGGAAAAATCTCAACTACTCCAATTACTTCAGTTATTATTTATAGTTCTGTGACTCTCGAATCCTTATCTTCAGTCTAAACTTATCTCCCATGCTGCAAACACACATGGATCCAGCTGTATCCTGAATGTCTTTTCTTTGATGTTACAAATAATTCACTATGTCTAAAACTTGAGCCTGTCATCTTCCTTTGCATGCCCCATCTACTGCCTGCACTTCTTATCTCAGTAAACTTAACTACTATCTTGTAGTTAGTCCTGCCAGAAGCAGAGGTATCATCTTTCACTCCTCCTACTCCTTTAATCCCCCACAACTCCGAGCCAATCTGTTGTCAAGGCCTGTTAATTTTAACCTCTAAATATCTTTTGAATCCACTCACTTCTCATCATACCATTATCTAGTTCCAGTCATCTAACTCATGATCGTTTCTAATTAGTCTCACTCATCCACACTTTCCCACTGCTATCAATTCTCCATGCTATAGTCAATGTGATCTCCCACTGTAATTAGACCTTTACCCCACTTTACCACTGGAGTAGGGAGGAACTCTTCAAGGTTGCCAAAATCCAAAAAACATCCATGTTCTTAAGCCAGTTATCAAATATGAGTGCCCAATTTATTTGATCTCTTAGCAGCATGTGATATAGTTGATCTCTCTCCTTTAAACACTTTCTTCACTTGTTTCTAAGGCATCTATCTCTTGT